GTGGGTGACATCCCAAGCGTGAGTAAGCTGAGTAAGCTCATGGACTGACATGGGGCTGGGCCTCACTAGCCAGGAGGTTGCAAGAGCCCCACTGCAGGGCTGGGGGTATCAGACCCCAGGCAGCTCATCTAGGGCCATCTAGATCCCAAGCATCAGGAAATCATTTTGTACAGCCACCTACAGCAGAGAGACTTTCTAAGAAGCGTAAATTATTTTCAGTTGTTTTCTGATCCTACCTTTTTTCTTTTCCCCGGAACTTCACGTCAGTGATTCGTTCACATCAGGTAAATCTCGAGAAAGCCTTGGTGCCCCCCACCCCCGTCAGTAACCACGTGCGTGCGCCCCCATCCTTTCTCAGTAGTTAAGACGTTCTAGGCAATACCATAGACACATCTGACTGTGTCTCTCTCTCTCTCTCTCTTCGAGTGCAAGAAACTCAAGTCATCGTAAAAAAAATACAAAAAAAAATTTACAAAAAAAAATATCTTTTTTAGGCCAGAGTTTTCTACAGGTATTAATGAATATTTTTCTTAATCCTTATAAGTTTTATGTGTTTAATATTTCTTAATACCGGTAGCATTAATTTATACTTTTGTAGCAACACAATATTTTTATAAACAGCCAGTGCTTGGCTCAAGTCTTCATGAGGGGTTTATGCAGGGCCATCTTGGGGACCCTGTGTACCATGTACTGTATTTAAAAAAAAAAGTTAACTAGTGTCACACTTGCTGTGTTAATTAACAAAAGATGTTGTGTGCGGTCTCCTGTATCGTTGGTGCAATCCAACAGCTCTCTAAGGAGTCACATTGCATGGGGGTTGAGTTGACAGTTCTTGTGATACGTAAACCCCCGAGACCAAACTTGAGGGTTTATTTAGGGTTTTCTGTTTGTCCTTTGGGTTTTTGTTTCACTTTGTTTTGGGACCATTTCTCCATTTACAGCGAAATCAGCTTCATGATGTTTAAAACTTTGACTGATGTCAAATGGAGGAAAGGAACAGGAAAAAAAATGATTTTTACAAAGTAATAAAATCTGAAACTGAGCTGTTTAAATGTTGCTGTTTTTACCTGTCTGTTCTTGTCCAAAAGTGGAACATTCCCAGGGAGCAGAGGAAGGTTCCACTGGATTTTCCTTAAATCGCCAAAAGCCCCAGTCCAGGATTCAGTCCCTCCCCCGCTCCCCAAATTCTTGCAACATTATTCCCCAGTTGGTCGATGCCAAGGCAAAAGACATCCTTTTAATGGTTAGAGAGGATCAGTTGCTTAAAAGATTTCATGTCAGTGTTGTATTTATGGTTTTACAATAAAACAACCTTTAGAAAGAAGCAGTGTGTGGTGGTTTTTTCTCAGGCTTGGCGTTGGGCCATGCCATACAGTTGGGAGCAGAGCACTGCAAGGCGCAGGTGCGTGGACATGGCCAGAGGCTAGCACCTAGGGTGACAGTTCGCGTCCATCCCAAGGGACGCTCTGCAGCCAGGGATATTGACTTCTTCCCTGTGGGCTCATGGCTCATCGTCGCCACCAGGCCCAGCTCGACCAATGTCTAGTTATCAAGCGGAGAATGTGGCCAAGGCAGATGTGAGCCCCGTGGGTTTGTGGACCACCGTCCCATGAAAGAAGGGAAGGAAGGACTTCAGCTGAGTCCTCTAGGCCTGGTGCCCGGCACACGTGTGGGCTGCCCTGCCCTGCCATCTTTCGTGAAGCTAACCTATCCCTTTCCCCGGCAGCTTCTGCCTCCCAGACAGATAGTGTGTGATGTTGTGCTTGTCATCCATGTTCTGGGAAGAGTGTCCATGGCTTTTTGGCATGCGGGGCTCTCACCAAGTTAGGAGTCAGCGCTCTCCATGGTGAACTGTGGGAGGCCAGCCTCGGAAGCAAGGATGAGGACACGAATGCTCTTAAGTAGAAGCAAACTGGAGGCAAGTTGGGGGTGAGAAGACACCACCTGCAGCAGGGGGGTGATGTGGCAGGGTGGAGTGACAACTGAGGCCTGCTGCCACCAGAAGAGCCAAACTGCCATCCAGGTGAGTGACAGACACCTCAGGCTTTACCAGGTGTGGGAGAGTCTACTGAAAGGTAGAGGATACGTTACCTGGATCCCCTGGAATAGTTCCATCAGATGGCATGAGTCACAGCAAGAAGGGGCTGCTGAAGCCGGCTAACCTCCCAGAGGGCACCAACGTGCCTCCACCCTATTCTGCTATGGGTGTTTCATGCCGAGCGAGCTGTGTGGATATTCCTGAGCCAGCAGTTGATGTTGAATTGAGGAGTTTCTCCACAGTCCAAAGAGTCAGAAGTCCTGCGGTGGCCAAAGGAATCCTCCCTCAAGCCTTGAATACCACCATCAAGTAAGGCCAGGACGTGGCCCAGGAACCTTCACTGCTGAAGGACCAGCCTCTGGGTTCAAAACAGGTAAGTTTCTTTATTAAGCAGCCACATTTATTTTGTGACAGAAATAAATGAGTGCGACCAGCCCTTTTAAAGGAAAAAATGGAGATGAGGCTATTCAGGAATCAACTCTTAGGGAAGGGGCATTCACTGTGCTGAGAGATTCCTGGCACCTTCTGAGATGACCGCTATGGCTTTCTGGGGCTCAGGGTCACAGGTTTGTAGTACTGCCATCCCACCCTGGAGGGAGAGAGTCGGGATGCATTGGTTTTAAAAATTATTTTTATTTCTCTTTACTTATTTTTGAGTCAGGGTCTCTGTCACTGCAGCCTCAACTCCTGGGCTCAGGAGATTCTTCTACCTCAGCCTCCCGAGTAGATGGGACCTCAGACATGTATTACCACGCCCAGCTCATTTTTTATATTTTTGTAGAGATGAGGTCTCACTCTGTTGTCCAGGCCGATCTCGAACTCCCAGGCTCAAGCAATCTTCTCGCCTCAGCCTCTCAGAATGCTGGGATTATAGGTGTGAGCCACTGCAGCCAGCCTAAAACTTATTTACAGTCCAGAGTTGTAGCAAGTGTCACAGAGATGTCCAAAGTTGTAGCAAGTGTCACAGAGACAGATGCCTCCAGACCAGGAAAGGCAGGAAACAGGGCTAGTGAACTGAAGGCGAGGCCCTGTCCACGGGGGCCTTCTCTATACTCTGATCCACTGTTGGCATCAGGATGCCGGCCCAGGGCTGCCGGAATTTTTTATTTTCAAGAGAATTGAAGAACCCAGATTTTTATATGGAAGTTCAGTGCTTACGTGGTGAATTTGCAGCTGTGAAAAACGCCTTGAGAGCCAAATATCTGACCAACAGCTGAGGCTGGCCCATGCACCCATCACACACACCCTCTGGTTTAAGCATTTGTCTCTCAGTTCAGGTCACCTCAAAATATCACTTTCCAGAGGGCCTCTTCCAACTGCCATCGATGGCAGGCCCTGGCTTGGAAGGCACATGTGGAACGAACAGAGTATGGACAGGGATGGGTGACTTTTATTAGTCCTCTGTCACTTCTCCCTGAATAGTGGTCTCTCTCCCTGCTCCTGACCCCACCCGCTTCAGCCCAGAGAATCCTGGTGCTGACTACAAGTGCTGTCCCCTCAGACAGTCCTGTCTGCTGAAACCAGGAAGCCCCAAGGCCTGGAAGTTGGGAGCGACAAAGGGAGGGTCTTTATGTGTCTGACCTGGGAGGCTGCAAGCTTTCTGCACCCAAATACTTGCCTCTGGGTTCATTCCCTCAACAAGAGATGTGGAGTACCTCCCTTCTTTCTTCCTGACAGGTCTCTTAAGTGAATGGGCCGAGGGCATGAGAGGCCAACCCTGGGCTGAGCTAGCCACCTCCCCTAGAACACTGGTCATCATCCCACAGGGGTTGTGGGTCCTACTGGGCTTCTGCTGCCAGTCAGCTCTTCACTCCAGAACACACAAAACTGGGGCTTTCAATCCCTCCACCCTGGAAGCACCCATCAGGGCTCCAGGTGGATGCAGTCAGCAAGAGAGATTTATAAATTGGGTGTTTATTATCTAATGTTTCTACACCGGAGGTTCCTGGAGTCATGTTCTTGGGTCAATTGGTCCTGAAATGCCTGGACAGACGGCCCACCTACTCCCCTTCCCAAGCCGGAGAAGCCAGGCCACACGGAGGGCTTCTGGGTCTGGGCCAGAGCCCAGTGGTTGTCCTGGACACAATGCAAAGGCCAGTGAGCATTCTTCCAGGACAGAGGGCCAGAGGGAGGCTCCCGGGGCATGAGCGTCCAGGCCACGGGGAGAGACAGCCGAGGCCTTCCAGCTCCTGGCAGCAGGTTCTGGGGACGAGGCTACAGCTGAAGTAAAATACTAGGTGTTTGGTGTGGTAAAGGACAGGGGAATTATTTCATTTGTGGGCCGTTTGCCCTGAGCTCCATGGGGCACAGCGGGGCACAATTAATTCTTCTGACCCTGGGTTGCTGATGACCCCGTCAGACCTCTCCCAGAGACAAGCACCCAGAGTTTCTTCCTCTTTTCTTTTCTAGCTTTATTAAAACAGAGCAAGCCGGGCTCAGTGGCTCAGCCTGTAATCCCGCGCCTTTGGGAGGCTGAGGTGAGTGAATTGCCTGAGCCCGCGGGTTCGAGACCCACCTGGGCAACTTGGCAAGACCTCATCTCTACAATAAATCAAAAATTAGCCGGGCGTGGTAGCACAAGCCTGTAGTTCCAGCCACTTGGAAGGCTGAGGCGGAAGGATCGCCGGAGCCCAGCAGGTCGAGGCTGCGGTGGCCGGGAGTGGCCACTGCACTCCAGTCTGGGCGACTGAGTGAGACTCCAACTCAAAAATAAAAAAAAAATAAAAATAAAACAGAGCAAAATCATCCCATTTTACACTATTGTAAATAGAATTGTGATTTATGTTTCATAATTTGCATAGCCAATTTCCTGTGCTGAAGATATCACCATTGCATTTCCAATACATTTGTCACTTCCAGGGAAAGCTGGGTTACTCTTCCTCCTCCCCCGTTTTGCTCTCCCCTCCCCTTCCCCCACCCCATTATACTTCTGATGACAATGAACAGTCAGGACACGGAATTCCAGGGGCTTACAACTTGGGTTTTATTTAGACCCAGGTCACCTGGCCTGGCCTGTCACAGGACTCTGGGGCAGACACTAGCCACCCGCTGGCTTGCAGACCAGCTAGCCATTAGTTGGAGAGGCGCAGCAGTTCCTCGTCCCCTGTGGACACAGAGAGGCTCAGGGAGGGTGTCTATGGGTGGGGACCGTGGGGGGGTTAGGGAGGCCTCTGCCTGGAGGGTAGGCTGCTGGAGCCTGGGACAAGAAAACTTCTGCTCACTGAATGCCTTATCCCTGAAGGGCATTCCACAGAATGATCTGGCTTTTTGCCTCTTGCGATTTACCATAACGCCATTTTCCAGTAGGAAAAGCGAGGCACAGACATCGTGAATGGCTGAGGATGCCACTCCTGTTACTGCTGTGTCACTGTCGTCATTATTAGTAGCAGTTCCCGTTAGCTGAATACTAACTCTCCGCCAGGTACTGTAAAGTCTAGGAATCAGGTACTCTGTCCCATTTTACAAGAAAAAATTGAGGCTCAAATTGGCACTTGCTCCGGGTGGCAGCCCCGGAATTGGAAGTCCAGCCCTGCCCAGCTCCTCAGCCAGCCCTGTACACCTTCCACCCATGTCTGGCCAGCACCTCCCCAGGTACTCAATACCAGCTGCTGTTTGGCCCCGTTGCACAGATGGGAACCTGAGGCCCCTAGCATAGACAGGCTGCTCACCAAGTCCAGAATTCAGAACTCGACTCTCAAGACCCCCACCGCCTACCAGGACTCTCCCACCTGGACCCTGACACCCCTTGGCCCAACCTGGCATCCCGCAGGGCCACCTACCATCACCAGGGACACCGCAGTACTCCTTGCACTCCTTCTCTGAGTAGAACTTGTTACCGTTGCCTTGGCAGCCCCCATAGGTGAAGAGGACACACTTCCCCTGGGCAGCATCAAATGCCCAGAGCTGGGTAAAGCCTCGGCATGGGCCCGGTACTATGGGGAGGTTGCAGGCCGCTGTGAGGAGGAGAGGCACAGAGCATTAGTAACCCTTGCCAGGGTACCCTGCCCACCCAAAACACTTGGTCCCTCTGTGACGGATTGGGAAACTGAGGCCCACAGAAAAGAATGATTTGCCTAGAATCCTCCATATCCAAATGATTTCAGGAAACTTACCAGAGTTCGACCACTGGAATGCCCTCTCTGTTCTACCTTTTCGGTTGGCAGGTAGCTTATTGGAAGGACAGAATTGTAAGAGTGCACATATTGGGGGTGAGGGCTGTGCTCACCTACAGTCCGGCAGGTCTGCAGACACTCCTTCTCTGTGATAAAGTTGTTGCCGTTGCCCATGCAGCCGCCATATTGGAAGACCTCACAGGCCATGGACGTGCCGTTATAGAAATACCTGTTGGTCATCCCCATGCAGGGGCCTGCCGAGTGGTCCAGCTGGCAGGAATCTGAGGCGGCGGGGAGAAGAGCAGAGCTTACCAAGTGCTTCCTGTATACCCATTTCCAGCTGGGCACTTTAAAATACATCATCTCATTTCATTTTCACCTCTACGCTAAGAAGAAAGATTTTCAACTCTTTTTTTTTTTTTGAGTTGGAGTCTCACTCTGTCACCCAGACTGGAGTGCAATGGCACGTTTCCAGCCACCACAGCCTCAACCTGCTGGGCTCCGGCGATCCTTCCGCCTCAGCCTTCCAAGTAGCTGGAACTACAGGCACGCGCTACCACGCCCGGCTAATTTTCTGATTTATTGTGGAGATGAGGTCTTGCCAAGTTGCCCAGGCAGGTCTTGAACCTCCGGGCTCAGGCAATCCACTCACCTCAGCCTCCCAAAGCACAGGATTACAGGCTGAGCCACCGAGCCTGGCTTCAACTCATTTTCTAAATGAGGAAATTGACCTCAGAGGTGAAGTGACTTGCCCTGGCTCACACAGAACTAAGACTCAAAATAATGTCTGTTGGGGGTCCAAAACTGCTGCTTGTTCCACTGCATAACATGGGGGATTACTAGCAACCCACAGACTAACCGTCCAGCATTGGTCTCGTCTGCCCCAAAGCTCTGAAAGAGTAGTTTGATGTATTCACCACTAGCCAGCTTGACTTTCACACCGAGACCCACCCCAAGCCTTTGCTTTCATTACCCATGCCTCCTTTCATAAAGCTCTTGGATGCCTGGACACCGCATGAATTCACCTTCATCCAGGAAGTCCTCCTTGATTCTCTTACCCCTCCATCTTCTGAGCTTCCTGGCCCTTTAGCTGACCCACCCTTTGGGCCCATCACTTTCTTCCTTGGATATTGCCCCTTCTAAACCAGAAGCTCTAAGATGACGCAGATGATCTGTCTCCATGATCCCAGCACCCAGCACAGGGCCTGGAGTGAGGCAGGGTTCCGTTTTTGCTGAGTAAATTGGAGAGTGAGTGGTTCGTGAACAGTGCCAACCACACAAAACCTCATAGCCTTCCCAAAATTGTTTCTTCAAGAACGTGGATGGTCAGCCTGGCAAGTCTGGCAAGCTATTATCCTATAGTACAGATGAAGAACCAAGGCTAGGAGGCCACATAGTCATAAGGTAGGGCAAGGGCTGGCCTCTCACCATGGAGCCAACAGTCCCTAAGCTCAGGACCATGCCTTACGGCCCTCTCTCCCCACAGCCTTTGGCACAGTTCAGGGTACTTGACTCGCCATTTCTCAGACCAGGGTTTGAATCTCTAACAGATACGGTGACTTCTCATGGGGATGAGAGCAGTCAGGGTAAGCCAACCGTGGGCGTTTCCACTCTGGAATATGGCAGAAGTGTGAAAAAGCAGGTGCTTGTTACCTTCTTTTTTGACGACATCAGACACTAACTGCCCAGCCCCTGATCCTTCATCTTCTTGGGGTAGCACAGCCCGCCGGGCTCTCTGGGAGAAAAGAAAAGAATCTGTTACAAACAAATGCCTTGCTATTATCGCTCCCTTGTACTCCTGAAATGTATAAATGAACGACTTGCTTTGGAATCAAGGTGTAGGTAGAAGCATAGCTACTAGACTGGTTAATAGACTGTTTTTCCAGAAGCATCGACCTGAATCTCAGAATGGGCATCGCAGAATAGTTTTTTGGTCTGAAATGAAAATTGGAACCACAAGTTATAGCAATACCCCCATATCCAGCTTCCAGTTGAGGTGCCTAGAGGTATCTATGAATGGAAAGGAACTTCTCTCAGAGTTGGAAACCAGAGTCAGCAGCAGTTTTATGCTAAAAATGTGATGACATTTTTGCATGACAGAACGTGGGTACAACTGATTTGTAGAAAGGGCTGACCTGACCATTATTAGCTACTTGCAAAGGAAAAACCCATCTAGAGGGAAAGAAGGGACCCTAAGACTGACCTTGACCCATGGTTGTGGTGGTGGGGACTACAGAGTCAGGCAGGCTGCCAAAGCTGTCAGGAGGACCTTGAGTGTAGAGTCCTTGAGGCAGGATATCAGGGCAAGTACAGAAGAAGAGAACAGAAAACTGCTGGCTACCAGGCAGCCGCCCTGTCTGCCAGTGAAGCCTGGAACCTGAAAAGGTAGACCTATCATAACCTTAAACTTTCCTTTCTCCTTTTCAGGTGCAACAGAACACTGTGAAAACTGTCAGGGACTCCCACTCTCCACCAGGCTCATCTAAGCTGGTGGCATACAGACCTTCCTTGGTGAGGATAGAAGAATAAAGAAAAATCATGGGACAGATTAAATAATGCAATTGCCAGAACTGGATTGAGCTGAAAAAAATATTCCCACTAAACACAGGATGGCAGTAAGCAACAGGAGAACACTTAAACCTTCAATGAAATTCAAGATGACACGCACCAATATAATGAGCCAACAGTAATGGAAATGAATATGTGAAAGTAGAAAATTATTGAAGATGGAAAAGATGTTAAATTTAAGTACATAGTAGAGATAATAAAATGCAATTTAGATACTACAAGAAATAAATCTACATAATAGGATTTCTAGAAGGAGAGACAGTCAATGTAGAAATAATAGAAGAAAACTTTTCTGAGCTGAAGAAAGACTTCAGTTGCCCAGTTATGAGGAAAAAAGGAATCAAGTGAAGTTAGTATAGAGCTCCTTCTTGGACATTCACAGGGACAAAGGATAAAAAGCTCAGTGGCCCTCAGAGTAAATGGCAGTATATAATGGCAGAAGCCCCAGAACAATATCAGAGGGTCTTAGGAAGGAAAAGATTGTAACCCAGGGGTCCTCATCCATGCTGTTGACCACATGATATAACCACAGAAAGATATTCTCAGCCATGCAAGGATCCAGACATTTGCCACCTATGTCTTTTTCCTGAAAAAATTACTTATAGAAATATTCCTACCAGTTGAGAAGGAAATCTAAATGCCAGAAATTGGAAGATATGCCAACAAAGAAATGATGACAAACTATAAAGGCAATAAAATATAGAGTTAAATAATAAATGCTAACATGGTTATGTGATTTAATGTAAATATTAAAAAACAGTTCTTTTTAAAAGGTAGAAAATGTAAACAATCTCAGATTATAGCCACAAAAACAGGTATGTGTGAAACCTGAAAGGATCAAAATGGTAAGGAAAAGGAAAAATAGAAATGTGTTAGAGCTCTCTCTTTTGAAAGAAGAGTCATTAGTTAATGTGGGGAGTCATTCGTTATTGTTTCATTCTTGACACTGATAAATATAGATTTAGTTGACATCTGGATTAAAATGGCAGACTGAAACTCTCCTCAAAAGTTCACTCCCCAATACTTAATACTTAGCAAAAAACAAAAAAGTGATTTTAAAAACACAGCCCCAGTCCCCAATGTGTCACCAACATCAGTCAGACGAGGAAATGGGCATAATTTAAAGCTAAAAACTTTAAAACTGGCAATCAAGGAAAGAAAATATTCTGGAACTGAACAGAATAGTTCAGCATGGTATATAGCTCTTAATTGTGCCCTCCAACCTCTAGTACTAGGGGTCATCAGATTTATAATTCTTCCTAATACTTCCAAATACAGAGGGAAGAAAATTGGGGTGGGGGCACCTCATCTTGTTCCTTTCCTGACAGAAAAGTAGTGAAAATGCCTTCTGGGGAAAAAAGAATAAAAAGGGAAACTAGATCAGAGGTTCACTCGAATGGAAGTGAAGATTCTGGCGACACAATCTCATGTTCAGGACATGTTGCCCTGAAACAGACATAGATCACACCAGGCCCAGGCAGGGAGAATGAGCCCTACCTAGAATATTTAGCAGTCCTTCAGAAGAGAAGCAGAGGAAGGATGTTATGCATTAGATTGTGTTCCCTAAAATTCATTTACTGGAGTCCTAATGCCAAATACTTCAGACTGTAGCCTTACCTGAAACGAGCATTGTCGCAGTAATTAATAGTTAAGTGTAATTAACAGTAAAGTGTAATTAATAGTTAAGATGAAATCATCATGGTAGGCCCTAATCCAGTATGAGTGGCATCGTTATAGAAAGGGGAGATTTGGACACAGAGACATGCACAGATAAAGAACACCATGTGCAGATGAAGTCAGGGATTGGGGTGCTGCCTGTATGAGCCAGGAACACCAAAGACTGCCAGCAGACCCCCAGAAGCTAGGTGAGAGGTGTGGAATAGATTCCCACAGCACTTTCACAGACCCTAGAAAGAACCAACTTGCCAACACCTTGATCTGGGGCTTCCAGCCTTCAGAGTTGTGAGACAATAAGCTTATATTGTTTAAACACCCAGTTTATGATACTTTGTTCTGGAAGCCTTAGGAAACAAATACAGAGGGTGTTCGGGCCAGGATGGTGCACCTTGGGGCAGCTCTTCATCCCTCCCCTTCCACCATTCCCTTGGACGTCAGAAAAGCAGATGAAACACAAAATACCCAGACCTTATAAAGTAGGGCAGGGTTGGGAGGGAGACAGGATTAGGCTCAAATTTGGTGGAAAGAGGGCCAAGGAGTAAATGAAATGACACCCTGCCACACACCATATCAGGACAAAGGCTAGATAAAGCTGACTAAGCAGGAGGAAGATAAAGAGAAATGGTACAGACGCTGCCAATAGTACAGAAAACCACTTTTAGAAATAAATATGGGGGGGGACCCAAAAAGAAATGGAATGATTTTTTGGAGGATGGGCTCCTTGTAGTACAGGCTTCCCTGCTAGGTAAGTGTTTTAGGAACACCTCAGCATCAGTGTACTGGCTAGTGTTGTTGTGAGAGACTGCGTTGGGCGTCAGTGAATTTTTTTTTTTTTAATTTTCTTTCAGTGTGTTTGCTCATTTCATGATGGGTGATTTACAAGCTTACCTGCCCCCACTGCACTGAGTGTTCGGCAGTTTTTTGTGATTTTTTTTGTTTGTTTGTTTGTTTTTGGGGATTGGAGTCTCACTTTGTCACCCAGGCTGGAGTGCAGTGGCACACTCACAGCCACCCCAACATTGACCTGCTGGGCTCCGGCGATCCTTCCGCCTCAGCCTTCCAGGTAGCTGGAACAACAGGAGCACACTACCATGCCCAGCTAGTTTTTTTTTCATTTATTGTAGAGATGAGTCACCAAGTTACCCAGACTGGTCTCAAACCCGCAGGCTCAGGCAATCCACTCGCCTCGGCCTCCCAAAGTGCTGGGATTACAGGCTGAGCCACCAAGCCTGGTCAATGTTCGGCAGTTTTTGACTAAAAACAACGTGAGTCCCTTGCCCCACCCTCCCTATTCATCCAGTCTTGCCCCGAGCAACATTTTTTTGTTTCCCCTGATGAAAAAAGTCCTCAAAGGGAAATGTTTTGCTGATGTGGAAGAGGTGAAACAAAAAACAGCAGAAGCACCAAAACCAATGAATTCAAAAACTGTTGTGAGCAGTGGAAAAAGCATCTCGGTAGGTGTATTGCATCCAGTAAAGAGTACTTTGAAGGTGACTGCAATTTGAACATGTGAGAATAAATACACAACTTTTTGTAAATAAATTTCAGGGTGTTTTGTTTTTTTAGTCCCTCCTTGTAAACAAATAATAACCTGAACAAGAGAAAAGAGCCCAACTGTGATAGACACTATCTTAAACTGCCTAGATTTCCTCTCAGCAATGGACTTACTCTCAGCTGGCAGAAATACTGCTTGCAGACAGCCCTCAGGGGTCAGCCCCTTTTGGAGATGGCCTCAGCTAAAAGAAGCCATCATACCCCAGCTCATGCTCCCTTCCCAGTCTGATCAACATGGGGCACTCAGGCCCCGCCCCTTTGGTACCAACTTGCCAACGCCTTGATCTGGGGCAACTCTGAAGGACCATCCAGCCTCAGGGGTCCCTATAGGGTTGGCTGAGGCATTAGGACTGCGTTGCAGTTCGGCTTCTCCCTCTGAGCAGTCCTGCCTTCATGCCATCCCCTCCACAGAACCCAACTGTGATATCAGAAAAAAAACAGAACTCAAGGAACAGAAGGAAATTCCTCAATGACTCCAAGCTATAGAATTACTTAACATGCATTTATCAAAACAAAGGTTAAAGAGGAAATGCTAAAACAACAGTGTAAGATGAAAAGAGAGAATCCAGGTCTACAAAAACAGAGAACCAAAAAACATAAATTCAAAGCCAGTAAATAAATTAGAAATAGGAACAAAACAAAATGACTGCAGAATGGAATGACAGCTAAAAATGGAAAGTCTGCCATAAAAGGAAGGCTAGTGATAATCCCAGTGAATGCAGATGAAAAAAGACAAAGAGATGAAAGCAATGGAGAGAAACTTGTAGATATGGAAGACAAAGATGCTCTGGGATGAGAGTAAGTGTTCCTGAGGTAGCAAAACCCAACAAAGAGAGTGGAAGAGGAATTCAATGATATCGAGCCAGTGATTTCCCTGAGATATAGAAGACATGTGATTTTTACACAGAAAGAGCAGGTTGTGTTCTAGGAAATTTTTATATAAATTTTCAACACCAAAGCTTGTCCTTGTTAAGATGTTGACTTTAACGATAGAGCAAGTATTCCCAGGCATCTGGGCAGAAGAAATAAATTACCTAGAAGGAGAAGAAATGTCACATAGGCCTCAGGCTTTTTCACAGCAATAACCATGCTTCAGAACAATGGAGCAATGTGTATAAGGGGAAAGAAAGCATGACCTGAGACCATTACACCCAAGTAAAATGGCATTCAGGTAGGAAGAAAACAGAGAGACATTCTCAAATATGGAAGCCTTCATGGATTTAAACACACATGAACCCTCTTCAAAAGCACCACTTGGCAAAGAAATGGCACTGATTACAAGATGAATAGAAATAAACAACTTGGGAATGAAGAAGCTAGATTATAGGTACTAAAGGTGAATACAGAATCCACTAAAATATAGAACTACTCCTGAAAGACTGCGGGTTATGGTGACAGAGGAACTGGAAATGGTGTCGATCTGAACTATGTAAAAGGAAAAGGAAAAAGGCTATGGGACAAAATTTGAGTGTGCTGGTGTCCTTCAAATCATGGGGACAATAAATATGTTCTTTAAAATTCTATATAGTGATGGCAGCCTCTTAAATGTCTTCATAACCTTGACTTTAGGAGAATCTTTAGGACATAAATCTCTTGTGGTGAAGAAAGATTTATTTGAAGTTCCAGAAGTCCACTTCAGTTTCCATAAAGAAAAATTCAAATCAAACTACAGCTAATGCTTTTAAAATTAAAAATAGCATCTATAACATAATCCCATTTATTAATAGTATATCTGAATAGGTTTGTCCATTTATTCTTTTTTCCATTTGTCCTTTTATTGACATGAATGCATGTCCAGATTTCTGGAATCATGTGAATGCTTTTGAGTTTTGGTGTGATGGGAGTTTTTAAAAACTTTTATTTTTCTTTATATTTTTTCCACATTGTTTTAATTCTTTATAAAAAGCATCTGTTAGTTTTAACACGTGCTTATTAAAACCTAACAAAGAGAAAGGAAGTTTTATAAGACCAGCGGTAATTTTCCTTAAAAATTATGGGAGCAAATATGTAACATGTTAACAGTGTTCATTCTATGCAGAAATAGAGACATTTTGTCCTTTTTTTCTTTTCGTATTTTTTCAATTTTCTAGAATATGTTTCTAAATTAATATGTTTATATATGCATGCATACATATATACACAGAGGTATACATAATCAGTAGATAAATTAAAATATATAACTTCCAAATAATCAGAGGAAATAAAGAATGAAGAAAGCTTACTCCAGATAACAAAATTCAGGAAAATAAATGGAAAGAGTTAGGAAGCCCAGAAAATCAGAGAGCAGCACAGAAGAGAAGAAAGCTGCTTGTTCTCAGGTCTGCTGTTTTTAAGGGAAATCAATTGACTTGATTTTCATGTGCTGAGTGTCATTCTTTCATTAGTGAGAATATTACTTCTTCTAGGCACTCTTAGCACTATGTTAAGAGGTTTTCTACACGCATTGAATTCCAGCACAACCTCAGAAGGTGAATGTAATTACCCCACTTCACAGGCGAGAAAGGTGAGGTCCCGATGGGACCTAGCCCAAGTGGCAAAGTCAAGATTGACCCCGGGTGGGTCTGACTTCACGGCTCATGCCCAGCACTGCCTTCTCTCAACCCCTCTCCGTGACTCTGCCCCGGCCACAGCAGGACCTAAGCGAGGCCAGCAGAAACCAGGTGTGCAGAGGGCCTGGGGCAGGGTGGGCTGGGAGTGGATAGGAAGGGGAGGCACTCACCGGGAGGGTGGTGGGCTCTGGCTTCTGCTCCCCAGGGACACATTCACCTAGGTCAGAGGACAGGAGAGAAGAGTGAAGAAGATTGCTCAGGCAATCCCAGACCCGGATTTGTTTCTTTTACAGTGCCAGGTGGGCACCACGCTGGGCACTGTCTTTTGCATTAGTCCACTCCATGAATGGCCCTGCCTGCATGGCCTGCTCAAGGTCATTCACAAGAAAGGCAACAGACTGGTGGCTGCACCGTCACCCTCTGTCCACCCCTCCCCTCACCCCTCCCCCAACCCCAGTCTCCCAGCATCACTGCATCAGCACCATCACAAGAATGGCCAAAAGCTAATGTGTATGGAGCACTTTCGGGCACAGTGCTGCTGTACTCAATGGCTTCATGTCATTAACCCCTCATAGCAACGTATCAAGGAGGCCTTATCACCCCCATTTTCTAGAGAAGGAAAATGAGGTTCAGAGAGGCTGCTCAGCCAGAAGCCACAGAGCTTGTGTGAGCCCAGGAGCTCTGACTCCAGAACCCATGCTCCTAACTCCAACACTCTGTAGCCTCCCAAGAGGTACCTATGGCTTCTGGCTACAACCTCCCTGAGAATCAAGGCAGAAGACCTCACGCTGAGCGGGTTCTAGTCCCAGCTCTGCTATTCACGCGCTGTGAGACTTCCAGTGCTTCCTGGTTCTCCATAAAGAGGGGAGGTGTCTGTGGTCCTGTTATCTCAGAGGGTTACAGTAAAGATCCAGGGGCTGGGATGGGGAGGGGACAGAAATTTGAGGCAAGGTGGGTGCCACATACCTCTGTCAGCCAGGGTGAAGACGGAGTCCTCAGGGATGCCCACACCCAGGGCAAACTCTCGGAAGTCCTGCAGGAGGCTTTCCCTCAGTGGAAGCTCCCGCCCTTCAGGATGGGAAAGAGGAGATGCCTAGAACCACCAGGCACCCAGCCTGGCAGGGCCTGAGATGGTTGTACCTTGTGATTTTCACGTAGGGAGAGTTTGAACGACCCAGTCCCATCCTTAATGCACCCAGTTCAATCCTGGAAGAGGCTTCCAAAGAGGAAAAGAGGTTCTTCCCAGTCTCCTGAGACCTCACAAGTTGCTCTTCCCACTGGTTCTTTTTTTTTAATTGGTGTCTCTGTCACCCAGGCTGGAGTGCAGTGGCACACTCAGGGCCACCCCAACGTCAACCAGCTGGGCTCCAGCGATCCTTCCACCTCAGCCTTCCAAGTGGCCAGAACTACAGGTGCACACTACCATGCCAGGCTAATTTTTTATTTATTGTAGAGATGAGGTCTCGCCAAGTTGCCCAGGCTCGTCTCGAACCCACGGGCTCAGGCAATCCACTCGCCTCGGCCTCCCAAAGTGCTGGGATTACAGGCTGAGCCACTGAGCCCAGGCGCCACTGGTTCCTTAAAGAACCTGGAGGCTCTGGCATTCTCTGGGTCTGAAATTTTAGAGATCAGAAAAAGAGCATTCCACCTCTTCCAGGAAAAGTCTGTGGCTGCACCTTTCCCTAATTGGAGTTTTGGCAGGAGGAGAAAGCAAAACCCCCTGCTATTCCCCACCCACTGTCCAGGAATCAGGGGTCTTCTGTTGCCCCCAACCCCATCGGGCTCATCTAGTTACAGGCCTTTACCATAGAGCTTGACAGTGATGGTGGGTTCATGGCGGCGGCTGAATTTCTTGGTCAGAAAAATAGCGTATTCATCATAGTTGGTGTGGACCACGTAGGACTCCATGGTTACATCCCATTCTTCATGGAAGGGGCAGGGAGGCCAGTGGGATCAGTGGTTAGAGACCCCCCTATCTGAAGATCCATCTGACCTGTTCACTCACACATCATTTCTCATCCACCAGTCCACCCATCCCTTCCATGTGCCCACTGACCAATTCATCCACCTTCAGTCTCTACTCACCCACCTGTCTCCTCCACACAGTCATTGTTAATTCATCCACCACCACTCCATCCATCCATCCTCTCCATACTTCGGTCCATTTCCTCCCTCCCTCCTTCTTTCCTTTTCTCCCTTCCTCCCTCCCTCCCAAGTCAGGATGGAAGGGAACATCCAGAGAAGGAGGCTGCTGGGGCACCCAGAGACAAGGCAGCCAGAAGATTGGACCAAAAGGAAAGGCAGCAGGAAGGGGGAAGGAGAGACAGCCAGGGTCAAGCCTTCCTTCCTTCCTTCCTTCCCGAATCACTCCGTAGTTTATCTGTTAGGTAACTGATGGATTAACTCACTTATCCATACATATATTCAGTCACCTGTTCATTCACTCATTTGCTTGTTCATCTATCCATCTAGCCAAACATTCATATATCCAGCCCTAACACAATCATTGGTCACATAGAGCATATTCAATAAATATGTGTTGAATAAATAAATCTGGGCCCAAGTCCTTCTCTCACTTAGCACCATGCACACTGGATATAGTAGAGACTTAGTAAGTTTCTATCAGCATCTGCAGATGCCTGGCAAGGCAGGAAGATGGGTGAAATCGGCACCGTGGCCCTATTCTGGGTGTGAGCGCCAGGGGGCGGGGAGGGAGAGAGGAAAAGGGAGGAGGAGAAGAGGAGAAGGGGAAGTGGGGGACAGGAGGGGGAGAAAGAAGGGGAAGAGGAGGAGGAGGAGGAAGAGGAGAGGGAGTTTTTGGGGGAGGCTAGATTCCATCTCAGCTAAGTGGGGGAGGAAGGCTACAGAGGCAGAGAGACTGAGGGCACTGTCTCCTCCCACTCTACTTACTGGCTTTGTGATAGAGAAACTTCCCCTCAGTGTCTGTTTTCTCATAAGCCCCCAAGATCTCCTCACAGACGCCTCTCCTGGAAATAAACCAACTCAAAGTTCACTTCTGGTAGATGCCACGGTCCTGGCTCCCTACTGCCCTGCAGGGCTCTTTCCAAATGCCTTGGTTTGGGGTTTTGTTTGTTTTGTCATTTGGAAATCAACATGTGCAAATACCTAGTTTAGCCTCACCCTAGCCCAAAGAGCCCCCCGCCCCACCCCCACTTTACATATGAAGGAACAGAGGGGCTGATCCACGCAAAGCCGGGTCATCAGGTCTGCACAGCATACTGGTGCGTGGGAATCAGAGTGCTGAATTCATGCATTCACTCTTTATTGTTCTATCTTGTCCAGTTTCCTCATCTATAAAATGGGGACAGTGATAGCTTCCACCTCACAGGGCTGTCGTGAGGACCCAATGAGATATCCACATAATGAGCCTAGAGTAAACACTGTGCACCTGGGAGGTGTTTCTGTTACAGCGTTCACTACTGGTCCCTTTCACATATACTGAGCAGCACCCATGCGGCAAGCCCCGTGCTATGTGCATACTTAGCAGGGCACGACAGACTCTGTCCCCTCGGGAGCCGACAATGGTGGGGGACAGGTAGGCAGGCCAGAGGCAGCCGCAGCCAGTGTGAGGAGTGCCATATGGGGAAGCATGAACCGGGGGTCTGGGAGGGCTCAGTGGCTCAGCCTGTAATCCCGCGCCTTTGGGAGGCTGAGGTGAGTGGATTGCCTGAGCCCGCGGGTTCGAGACCCGCCTGGGCAGCAAGACCTCATCTCTACAATAAATCAAAAAATCAGCTGGGCATGGTAGCACATGCCTGTAATTCTGGCTGCTCAGAGGGCTGAGGCGGAAGGATCGCCGGAGCCCGGCAGGCGAGGCTGCAGTGGCCAGGAGTGGCCACTGCACTCCAGTCTGGGCGACAGAGTGAGACTCCAACTCAAAAAAAAAAAAGAAGTGGCATGGAACCTGAGCGTGGAAGGACTTATGAGAATTAGCTCAGGAGGGTGGGGAGTGGTATTCCCAGGAGGTACAAAGGCTCGGAGGTGAGTAAAGAGGAGGGAGGGTCCCAGGACTAAAAGAAGGTCCACTTGGGTGGGTCTCAGAGTACCTGGGAGAGTGCAGGGCAGGAGTGATGGGTGCTGGGAGGACCAGGAGGGTCTTGAGCAGATGAGTTTTCTAAGGGTTTCAAGTTGCTGGGTGAAGAATGGATTGGGTGGAAGGCTCAAGATGAGAGGGGGAAAGAGCAGAGAGGTTGTGTAGACAACCAGGAGCAGGGTGGTGGCAGTGGCAAGGGGACAGTGGACAGACCGGAGGACTTAGGAGGACAGCGAGCAGGACCTGAAGATGGCTTGAATGGCTGGTGATTCGGGAGAGAGGAGTGCAGTCCTCAGGTTGGGCCCCAGGGGGTAGATGTCCCCACACTGAGCCAAGGAACGCCCAAGGAGGAGCGGGGCACAGACAGGCAGAGTGTTGGGGCATTGCCCTGGAGGCGTGGAGGGACCCCCCAAGAGGCCCCCGGTGAGGGTGGCAGAAGGGCTGGCCTCAGGCAAGGTCCTGGCTGGGAGCAGAGTCCTGCCATGCTCCACGACGGGGCCCAGTCGCCCCGGGCTCCCCCCTCCATGCTCACCGCCAGTGGGTGCTGGTCATGCTGAGCTCCGCCTCCGTGGTGCCTTCGCCCAGCACCAGCGTGCTGACAGCCATCTTGTCCTTGATCCTCTTCAGCCACGGGCAGGTGGAGCCAATGGCCAGGTTGTACCACTTCCCGTAGATCTAGGAGGCAGCCGGGACTCTGGGGGTCTGGATTTGCCTCAGACTCAGCTGCTGGCTGCTCTCCCCTCCCCTCAATGACGAATCCTTTAAGTGTCTATATCTTTGAGGGCGGACAGAGCCCTTGGGTGGCGTTTCAGGCATCACAGCAGCTTGGAAGGTGTGCAGATGGGGCCCACCCTGCCTCGCAGAAGGCCTTACTCTACTGAGACGTGGGATCTGCACAAATCCCCATCAACCACCGGCAGTCCTCTGGGAGCTGGAGTCATGCCTTTTACTCCTCCAGTGACGGGCCGCTCACCACCTCGCAAGGCCCCCCACAGCCCCATGTTGGGAAGGATCTCAACAGTGCAATGAGCACACCGGGCCCTCCAGGACAGGCCTGCTGCCTCTTCCTCCAGCTGCCACAACGAGAGCGAGCGAGCCCTCGTGATCCTGCAGGACCCCAGACCCCCCGCCATCCCAGACCTCCAGAAGACCCTGTTCCTCGTGGCCCCTCTGCCCACAGCTCTTCATGGTCCCTAAAAGTAAACCAGATTCACATGATACCACAGTTAGAAGGGACTGAGAGTCCCTCATACAGCTGTGGAGGCTGAGTTCAGGTGGGCAAGGCTCTGCTCAAAGCCACCCCATGACTCCGGGTAGAGCTAAGGGCAGCTCTGGGACTCCACACCCATGATGCTGTGCCCTGCCCGGCCCAGCGCTCACTGTGCCCAAGCCTCTTAATCTCACCAGCTCCTGGTCTCTGTCCTGCTTTGTTTCTTCCCATAAGCCCACATGCGTGCCCTGTGCCACCCCAGGTCCTGTCCACTGCCCGGCTAGGACCTGGGCAGGGGACCCAGGATGAGCTAAGAGGAACCCAGGATGAGCTAGAAGAGACATCAGGATGAGTTAGCAGGGGACCCAGGATGAGATAACAGCAACCCAGGATGAGTTAGCAGGGACCCAGGATGAGCTGTCAGGAACCCGGGATGAGCTTGCAGGGGATCCAGGATAAGTTTGCCAGGGATCTAGGGTGAGCTAGCAGAAAGATGCCCAGATGCCACAGGGAGAAGTGAGTCATTAAAGAATGACAGACTGTGAGTGGGGTGGGCTCTTGAGAAGCCAGGTTTGACTCATAGAATAATAGTCAAGAAAGTTCCACAATGGCACACAGAAAAAGGTGTAGCTCCAAAGAGTCCCAGATGGTCTGAGTAGGAAGGGCCTTTCGGGTCTGGCCAGTGAAGTCTCAGATGAGGAGACTGAGACCCCGAAACAGTCAGGACTTGCCTCGCAAGACCCAGCAGTTTGGACACCCTCCCACCAGCGAGGCAGCCTTACCCGAGAGACATTAAAGTTTTCTTGCACTTGGATGTCGTCGGGAGGCAGCGGCACAGGGTCAGCACTCACTACCAGGCAGGCGGTCAGCAGCAGGACCAGCGCCCCAGGACTCCACATGACTCCGGACTCTTCTGCCTTGGGTGTTTCTCGCAGGCTTGGTCTGGCAACAGAGAGGCCACCACCTCCCTGCCCTGGGCAGCTGCAAACTAAGGCTAGGGAAGGGGCCCGCGGCTTGTTGGTGACCTTGGTATTTGCCCTAATCACTGTGACCAATCAGGGCCCCGAGGCCAGCTCCAATCAATCCCTGCAGCCTAGCTGGGGTCAGCAGTACCAAGAGGCCAGGGTGGCTATTTTAGAAGAGGGGTGAGCTACGCAGGACTTGGTGGCTCACGTCTATAATCCCAGCACTTTGGGAGGATGAGGCAGGAGGATTACTTGCACTCAGGAGTTTGAGACCAGCCTAGGCAGCATAGTGAGAACGCACCTCTACAAAAATACAAAAGCAACTGGGCATGGTGGCACGCACCTATAGTCCCAGCCATGCAGGAGGCTGAGGTCGAAGGATCACCTGAGCTCAGGAGGTCGAGACTGTGGTAAGCCATGATCAGGCTGCTGTATTCCAGCCTGGGTGACAGAGTAAAATCCTGACTCAAAAAAAAGAAAAGAAGAGAAAAGAAAAAGAAGACCACGACGACGAGGTGTCTGCTGCACACAGTAGGGCCCTGGTACACTGGGGTGGGGCTCCACCCCCAGAAAGCCTTCTCCACAGGCTCCTGCCCATCACGGGGGGCACGTGAGGACTGGGGAGAAGGGTAGTACCGATCTTTTCCCACTGGGTCATTCTACCTGGACCCCACAGCTCTGGGAGCCAGCAGGTGGGGCCTGAATGGGCCAATTTCTCACGTGAGAAAACAGACGCCCGGGGAGAGGCAGTGACCAGAGACCACGGGGACGTCTATGGCAGAACCAAGACGAGGGCCCAGGCATCTGTCTCCAGAGCTCTTTCTCTGACCTTGGCCTTCTGCAGTCCTTGTAGATAATAGAGACATGATGATAATGATGATGACAGCTTCTATTCTCTGAACACCTGCACGTGCTGGCTTTGCGCCAGGCCCTTTGACACGCGCCATGGGATTTGCATCTAATCCCCCCAGCAGCCTCACGGAGTAGGTTCCACTCTTCCCCTTTACAGACAGAGGATTTCATTGCCCAAGATGTGAAGTGACTTACCCAGGTCCCTCAGCCAGGAAGTGGAATTGCTGGGAAAGGTCATTCCACTTCCTGGTTGGGAGCAAGGACTCAGGAGCCAGACAGGCAGCTGGGGCCAGCACTGTGGCATGACCTCGGGCCACTTTCCTTCCCGGTGCCTCGGCTTCCTCCTGGGGAGGATGTGGGTTGCTGGATCCCCCTTGTCAAGCTCAGGGAGGACACCCGGCACCCAGTTGGAGCCCTATGTGTTTGTCGTGGGCTGAACAGTGTCCTCTCCTACGTCACGCCCACCCAGAACCGCGGAATGTGACCTTATGTGCAGGTGGGATTTGTGAAGGGGAGGGTGTGCTGGATGACGGGGGTTCCTCACCCCAGGGACTGGCATCTTCATAAGAGAACAGGGAGGGAGACTCCGGCACAGAGACGCGAGGGGACAATGCCACGTGAAGATGGAGCAGGGACGGGAGCGACGCAGCAACTAGACAGAGGTCGCCCAGGGTGGACGTCAGCCGCCGGAAGCCAGCAGGAGGCAAGGGTGGGCCTTCCCTGGAGCCTCCCGAGGGGGCGTGGCTCTGCTGACAACCTGGCCCCGAAGCCCGACCCCCTCCCCCCACCCACGCACGGGGACACGGGGAGAGAAACAGCTCTGTCGTGTAAGCCACTCAGTTTGTGGTGCTCCTTACGGCAGCCCTAGGAAACAAAATGGTAGTCATTGCATTTTAAGTTTTAAATAAGAATTTAAAAAACCCAGGTGCATCTGTCTCCAGAGTGCAGACTCTGGCCCGTGGCACCATGGGCCCTCTCTACGGAGTTTTCTTCTTCAGGGATCAAAGCTGCCCTCCTTAATTCATCCCTGTTCCTGGCACGGAACCTTCCATGTGCTCAGCTGCCTTCCAGTTAGAGCTGGGGAGGACCTCTTCAAGCAGCGGTTCTGAAAACAAGACCCCTGCTCATGTGAGAATCAGGGGCTTCTTCTTTCACAGCGAGTGCATGTGCGTGTCATGTCCCCTCTGTAAGATCCCTCTTTCATTGGCACCTGGAACAAGTGTGTCTCTGTTCACAAAAAGCGAGTGTTTCTTTTGCTCCATCGCTGACAGCTTGGCCACTGACCGCGTTTCCTTCTTGCTTTGGCTGCCAGGAAGCTCAAAGCCAACATACAAGTTTAAGTACAGCAACTGACTTGGTTTAGCTTTCTGGAACAGTTATCTTTCCTCACATTCACCACGTTTCTCAATCTTTTATGGCTTGGTTAATGAAAAGAGCCCAGAGACGGTAACCCTGACTTCTTGTTCCGTGTGACCTTAAGGATGGCTTTCCCTCTCTGATGCTTGTTTTCCTAAACCGTAAAGTGGGGATAGCCCCTGTTCTGCCAAGAGGTCAAAAGAGACAGCATGTGTGGAACTGCTCTGTAAACTGCATTGCCTTGCCCGTGTGACAGCTCAGGGCATCTGTCTTTGGAGGCAAGGCTTGGCATGAGAGTGAATAAACAGCAATGAACCACGAATAGGTTCACAAATCGTCGAGTCGCCCTACTGAAACGGCTCCCCGTATACCAACACGGCTCCTCTGACTTTGACAGTAGGTCCGTGGGATTAGGGTTCTCACACCCACTGTCCAGGTGTGAAGCCTGAGGCACACCGGGGAGAAGAAGCCCCAGTCTCCGCCTCTCTTGGACAGGGCTGTGCAGTGCTCTCCCGGGGTGGGAGGATCCTGGGCCCAGGATGTTGATCTCTCCCCCTGCCTCCAGGAATGTTTGCGCTCTCGAGATGATTAACCAGAGCAAACAGAGCAAGCACTGCCAAGGGCCACCTGGACTTTTGGCTGCTTTTTAAAAATTAACCCCGGGTCACCAGGATGCAAGGCCAGCTGCCGTCGGAGGGGTGCCGACTCCTTTTCCCCTTCTGGTGGTCGGGGTGGGAGGACGGAGGCTCTCAGGCTCCTGACTTCTAGGGGTCCCCGGGGTCTGAGAGGCCACGGGAACCACCAGGTTCCAGAACCATTTCAAAGGCAGGGGGAGATCCTGACCGGCGAGGAGGCAGGCTTCAGAGCTCGAGTGCCCTGTGCCACAGGGAACGGGGGGCCTCAGCTTTCATAAGAACACGCAGGGACTCTGGGAGGGAGAGGACTTGTCCGGGGTCACCCAGCTTGTGGCCAAGTTGAGGGCCTGGTAGGCCTGATTCCAGTGCCTGGGCTTTCTCCTCCACTTGCGGTTCACCAGATGCACGCTTTACGCTTGACACTGGGACAGGACAGGGAACGTGACAGGCCTCCCTTGAGGTCTGGGGTGGTGAGGCAGACAAGTGAGGGGAAGATGAGACAGGAGGGTGGCTGCGGCGATGGGCGAAGCAGAGGCCAGGGAGGGGACGCTCAAACCCCAAGAAAAGGTGTGAGCCAGACCAAAGTGCATGGGGTGGGAAGTGTGGGGGAGGGGAGGGTGTTCCAGACACAGGGAACAGCCACTGCAAAGGCTTAGAGGAGGCAACGGAGAGAGAGAGAAATGCACTTGGCATGGGAAAAATAAAAGTAAATCCATGGGGCTGGAGCTTGGGGGCGGGGGCAGAGGAGCAGGAAGAGTAAGGTTGGGGAGGAAGCCAAGGCCCAGGAGGTAGGGCTGGTTGCCAGGCCAAGGGGCTTTACTGGTACCGAGTGCACAGGGGTTAGTTGGCGGGTTTTCAGAATTTTGGGCAGCCAGTCAGATTTGTCATCTGGAGACAGCAGGAGTGGGAGGCCCAGGAAAGCAACTCCCTGGGAGGTTTTCCAGGAAGAAGGAAGGGGCCGGGACACTGGGACCTGGTGACTGGGCCAGCGGGGGCATCAGGACATTGGTTGGGACTCAGACCAGTGGGTGTGGTCAGGATTGGGGTCTTCCTCTGCTAATGGCGGAAAGGCAGGGTGGCCTTTCTCCCGGACAGGAGATCTGGCCCCCGGTGCCTGGCCCCGTTCAGGGTCCCCATGGAAAAACCGTAGGGTGCACATAGTGCCCAGGACTCCGTGGCCAGCGACACGGAAGGGGTGTCCTCACCACCCAGCTATTCCTAGGTTTGTCTACTCGTTTCCCCGCCCCTGTTCCAAAGAGCAAGACCATCCAGAGACTCGAGTCTCAGTCCCTGTGACTTGCCAGGTGACCATGGGGCAGTCTGTTCCCTCCCTGGCCTCAGCTTCTTCACTTAGACCTCCACACAGGGGTCACCCTCACTCACTGGACAGGACTGAAATAAGAATCGGATGAGGGACACTTGTGAAAATGCTCCCCAAGTGTGTACACTTGACACTTGAGGGACCCCTGTTTACGCCGGCTCTTGGCATCCCAGCTAAGGGCTCCATTCTCCGCTGGAACGGCACTGACAGGAGCTTCCAAGTGTCCACCAGGGGGCAGCAGAGAACTTCCAGAAAGGCCCCCGGGGTTTGCTCATAGATAGTTCTGTACAGACCGAGCCAGAGACCCCAAGCAAAGGCCCCAGAGGTGCAGCCAGGGTTAGAACACAGCCTTCCTTGCCCCGAGCTTGCTCAAAACCCCCTGGCGAGTGTAGAACATTCAGCCTCTACCTTGCCCATCCCTACTCTGGCAGAGTGTGATGCTCGGCGCGGGCCCTTTTAAAAACATAGTTGGGCCGGTTGCAGTGGCTCACGCCTGGTCACCCCCGCACTTTGAGAGGCCAAGGTGAGAGGATTGCCTGGGCCCACAGGTTCCAGCATAGCAATGTGTGCAACTTGGTGAGACCTCATCTCTACAATAATAAAAAAAAAATTAGCAGGGTATGGTGGCAGGTGCCTGTCGTTCCAGCTACTTGGAAGGCTGAGGCAGAAGGATCACCTGATTTCAGCAGGTCGAGGCTTGCAGTGGCTGTGAGTGTGCCACTACACTCCAGCCTGGGCGACAGAGTAAGATTCTGACTCAAAACAACACAAAAAAGACAGTTCCCTGGGAAATCCTGCTGGGGAACCAGAATAGGGTACATTTGCTATAGCCCACAAAGGCTGCTGTAGCCCAGATAGTCACTTTGTTAAGTTCCTACTGTCTGCCACGTCCTATGCTGAGCACTCCACAAGCCAGTCGTACTGAATCCTCCGTTGAGGATCTTACTGGGCTGGTGGCGCTGTTTTGCAGCTGGGAAAACTGAGGTGGAGAGATCAGGTGATCAGGTGTTGAAGG